ATATATATATATATATATATATATGTGTGTATGAATGCATTTTAAACCCTTCCCACACTCAACTTGCAATATTGTAAACAATGTATTTAAACTCTAAACACTCTAAAAGAGACAGAATGTCATGATTTCAGCTCTCTGCCTCCTGCAAGCGCTCTTGGCCACGCCCACTTCTCCACTCTGCACCGAGAACAGCTGATCAGCGGCATCAGGAAGTTTCTTCTGCAGTGTGGGCTACACAAAGGTGCAGCAGGTGCTAAATGATTTTAAATAAAAAGCCCATGCTGATCATGCGGCTCATCCATCAATCAGCCAATTGTGTGTCATGTCCAATCTTATTTTGAAAAACCGCGATAGTGTGAGTTTGTGAAAAACGAACCGTGAAGTAGTGAGGGACTACTGCACAGAACTCCTCAAGATAAAAATCACAAAGTGCTTTGATAAACAAACAAAGTTACTATTTAGCTGTTTTTATACTAATTTTAGCTTTTTCAGCTAATTCCACATTTTAGCTTATTTCAGCTCTTTCTGCTTCTGTCTTACTCTTATAGTTTGTTTCTTTCTGCTTTTTCAGCTATTTTGATAATTTCTGACCTTTTTTCGCTAATTTTTAACTTTTGGGCTAATTTAACACTAATTCATCAAATACGATATGTGTTCTTTCTGCTTTCTTCTGCTAACTGACTTATCTGTGCTGCTGCTGATCTCATGCTGCTGCTGATCTCATGCTGCTCTATTCATTTACACCCATCTGCTCACCAGACTTATGTTTGGGCTGCTGTTGTTACGTCATATTGTGCTACATCTTAGATTTGTTAGCGTACCGTTTGGTGTTAGCATTTATCTTAGAGCCATGTATACTGTTTCTTTTTATACTTTATATTTTTGTTATTTTTGGGAGTAACTGGGATCCTGTGTACATAATTCTGTTCCACCTCATGTAGCACATATGATGGACATGACACTGACATTGACTTGAACGTGAACTAACTTAGGCTTTCAGCTACATTTCAGCACGTTTTATTTGAGCAAATTCCAGCTGTTTCTCAGCCAGTTCTTCTGCAATAAGCATCCACACTGCATATTCACAGGACATGCAATATCTCCGGTTTATTTTAAACCACACTGAATTAAACGACTTAATAAATTCAGTGTTCAGGTGTCTTGTAAGAAACACCTGAACACCATCTGTTCCCTAAACAGGTCTCTCTTGTAAATGAGTCCTCCAGGCTCAATGAGACTAATGTGTACAAACAAAGGTTGAATTAAAAATAAACCTTCTGTTCGATGAAGACGGTTTAAAGGATTTCCACCATATTTCTCTCTCTGGAGAATCTTTAGTAAAACATTTTGGCCTCTGCAGTTAACTTCCAAGTATTTTCCTCAGAGTGTCCCTTTCAGATGTAACCGTGGGACAGACGGCGTTAGAAGACAAGGAGACCTCACCAACGAAGACCCAGGCGCTGTCTCGGTACTCGGTGTGCCATGAGACGGCCTCTTTGATCCCGAGGTCGGCCTCGCGCTCGTTCAGCTCCTGAATCAGCTTCACCTTCGTCAACGGACTGAAAACACGAGAGGACATCGTCAACGACTCACGTTTGTTTACACCTTCACCGTCTGATTCTCACACCGTCTGGTGAAAGTTTCATGCCTTTTCATCCTTTTAGAAGAGAAACAGATTGTTTCTGTCAGTCAAAATAAAAAGGTTTGTTATTCTGTGGTTCCTTCTGTCGACATCAGAACGTCAACCTCCCCACCATCACAGACATCTACACCTCCAGATGCAGGAAGAGGACCACCTGCATCATGAAGGACCACACTCACCCAGCACACACACTTTTTGCCCCGCTCCCCTCAGGAAGGAGGTTGAGCAGCATTAAGTGTAGAACCACTAGACTGAGGAACAGCTTATACCCTGAGGTTATTAGACTCATGAATCTCTAACCAGGATTATAATTGTAATGACTCTTTAATTGGTGATATGCACTGCTGATTATCCATGCTGCTGATTATCCATGCTGCTGATTATCCATGCTGCTGATTATCCATGCTGCTGATTATCCATGCTGCTGTATTCATTCGTACTCACCTACTCACACAGACTCATGTTTGTGCTGATGTTTTTCAGCGTATTGTTTTGTACTATTAGTGTTTAGCGTATTTCTTAGTTCATATCTTAGATCCTTATTTACCATTTCTATTTCCAATTTATATTTTTACTATTGTTGGATGTAACTGGGCCCATTTTTCATTCATTCATTCAAACTTTATTTCTACAGGTTAATCCCATTGAGCCTCGAGGACTCATTTACAAGAGAGACCTGATTTCAACAAAGATGACATCATGACAAGAATAAACAGTTATAAAAGAGGATGTTCAGATTTTTTTATTTACAAAGTAAAATAAGATGGACCCTGTGTACACAATTTCATTCCACCTCATGTACCACATATGATGAGAATGACAATAAAACCTACTTTAACTTGAACATCACAACTTTTAATCAAAATCAGCTGATTTTTATTCATCATTTTATTACTATGTAGTCCTGAAAGTACAAATAAAGTTGTTCTTTTCTGTGTGAAATGTTTCAGATTTAATTTGTTTCTGCTTCTCTGTGTTGTTCCAATTCCATTAAAACAATAAATAATATGAAAAATGTTGCTGAATGTTTTCAGTGTTCTTTAATCTGACAGAAACGCATTTGGGTCACATTATGACAATCCAAAGAAGTGCTTCCAATAAAATATATAAAGATAAAGATGGAGTTTAAAACTAAGTAAGTGAGACCGATATTAGTCCCAGTGCACGTTCGTTTATCTCTTTGGTAGCTTGTTTACAACGCGAACATAAAAACACAAATAAATTGTAAAGATCTAAGGTGTTTTTGTGTAAACCAATCAAGAAATACATATTTACGAATGATTTAGTAATGAAGGACCAAAAACAAAAAACACCCTAAATTTTATTGTTTAGTTAAGTTCAGAGGCTAAATTTAAAGCCGAATTCAACAACACTTATTATTCTTCCCATAAGTACAATAAAATTCTGTATTAACAAATTTCATGGCCTGCACTTAAAATAAAATGTTAAATTTAACGTTTTTAAAAAGGAATCCGTTCTGCACCGTGTGAAGCTAGCGCTGGCTAACAGGTTAGCGTTAAGCTGGATTTATTAAAAGAATCAGCAACTATATGAACCAATCAGCCTCAAAAGTAGTAAACACAAACCAAATTCATATTTTAATAAAAATCTTTACTTACTTCATGGTTAACTACATAAACATACGCCTGATGGAAATAGTTACTGTGTTGACCAGAAGCACTTCCGGTTGGATTTCCGCCTCTGCTGCCGCCTACAGACCGGAAGTCCGGATTACAAGTAAACTAAGCTTTAAAATCTTTTTTGTTTTCTTTTTCAGCATTACACCAAATACGTATTAAGTATAAATTTAAAACAATCTAGGATTTATGTCATTTGTAGGTTTTCTTTTTATAACGTGAATTTTAAAAATATACTTGTAGTTTCCCTCCCAGACGCCAGGTGGCGGGGTGGAGCTAACGGCTAACGGCTAGCTGTAAACAACTCGTTCTTCACCTAAACTCTAAAACTAAAACTGCTCTTTATTTATTTTTACTGCTTCTGATGAAGACTTTATCTGTTTTTATTTACGGTCGATGAGCAGTTTGTTACGAGCTCAAGTCATGTATAAAATAAGAAGTTTGAATATCTGTTAGCTTCCTGTTAACCGGTTAGCCTTGTCATGTTTTAATCTCCTCACGTTTGATGATAAAACATCTGGTAAACCAACATCTGTTCCTGTTTGACTCCACAGCTTCAGAGGGTAAGTGAAACGGTTCTGAAATTCATCACAGATGCTTTAAATGAGTAAAACCCAAATCTGTGCTGAACCTCTACAGTGTTTGTCAAATTGAGTAAGAATTATTTATTTCCTTATGAAGGAAATAAATGTGTTTAAGACTTTCCGTGAATTGTCTCAAAGTAAAAAAAACGTCGGCACAAAATGTTAAGCACAAGTGTTTTTATTAATGTTTTATTATGTACATTGTGTATTTTAGCAGCTGTAATGGCAGCTAATGACCTTTGACCTGGTGTGGACATCCACAGGTTCAAGGTTCAGAGAAATTTGAGTTGATTTATTTAGTGTCTTCTGTCTCAGAGGGATGATCTCGCAGGTCTTCATCCTGTCCTCGAAGGGGGACCACCTCATCTACAAGGACTGTATCCTTCTGGCCCCAACAGAACCAGGTTTAAGTCTGAACTGAGCTCAGGGGATCCTGTTTGACTTAACCTCCACCTGACCTTCAGACCGCGGCGAGGCCGAGAACGATGTGATCAACGTTTTCTACGACAAGGTGACCGCGCTGACCGGAGACCAGCCTCCCGTCGTCATGGTAACGCAGCAGCTGGCAGGGTTTGAAATGATGTTTTTAACAAATTAAATCCAACAAAGATGCAGCTTCGCATGTAAAACTTCTCCTAATCAATAATTGAACTATTAGTTTGTAAAATAGGTTCTTTTGGGTCCAGTTTGACCAAAGTGAACTCTGTTGGTTCTGATCATCTGAACTCTGTCATCAAAACGTGGTTTCACATAAGAAAACCAACTTTATAAAAACATGAACTGTAAGAACTTTGTCTGTCACAGTGATCGGTCCGGACCATCAGAACCATCAGAACTTCTCTGCTGCTCATCTTCATGTGGAACTGCTTGGACTTATTTTCAGGTTCTAATTAGTAATTAGTGATTTATGAACTTTTAAAAGTTCCAGTGTTTCTGTGACTCCGTATTAGAAACAGAACACTTTGAATTAGTTCAGGTTTTAGTTTCAGACGTCCTGAAGTTTTATTTTTTCTCTGCATCACGTTCTAAAAATAAAACTCTTCAGTCAGTTTTTGTTTTTGGACCTGCAGACTCACAAAGATCTGCACTTCGTCCACGTCAGGCAGGGAGGGCTCTACTGGGTCGCCACAACGACGGCCGACTCCTCGCCGTTCACCATCATCGAGTTCCTGAACAGGTCGGTTACAGACCCAACAGCACGGTGCTGTTCGGAAACTACGACTGGTCCGTTCACTGAACCGAGCTGCTCCGTGTTCCAGGTTGACGGCTCTGGTCAAAGATTACTGCGGCAGCATCTCAGAGAAGTCGGTCCAGATGAACTTTGCCCTGATCCACGAGCTGCTGGACGAGGTTCTGGTGAGTGTTTCCCCACAGGGCGCTGCAGAGCAACGCCGGGATCAACCCGAGCTCGTTAGGGGCGTAACGAGTTCTGGTGCCACGAGTTCTAGTAGAAGTTAAACACACGAAGCTGCATGGAGCTGCGGTCAGCAGTTCAAACACATCCAGCTTCAGAACCACACGGTCAGTTTCTTTGTTGTCACTCACACCTCATGTGGTACATGTGGTGGAACAAGATCGTGTACGCAGGGTCCCAGTTACATCCAACAATAAGATGTAAAAGAAAAACAGTGATAACATCCAAGATAAGAACTAAGAAAAACATCAACTAAAAATACACTAATAGCATAAAAACAGTGACAGCGTTCTCCTGCAGCTACGTGCTGAGAGGAAGAGTCTTTAATTACAGCAGCAGACTTGAAGCTGAGTTCACACGAGGATTTGTCCTCGTCAAAGCTGAGAACAAAAGATTGAGCTGTCAAAGAAAAACGGTCGACCAACCTTTTATTTATTTATTATTAATCTTTATTTAACCAGAGAAATCCCACTGAGATCACAGATGTTTTTTGAAGGGAGGTCTGGGCCTGAATCAGACTAACCTGCATGTTGTTGGTCTGTGGGAGGAAACCGGAGTACCCGGAGAAAACCCACGCATGCACGTGAAGAACATGCAAACTCCACACAGAAAGACCCCCCGTCCAACCGGGGATTGAACCCAGGACCTTCTTGCTGTGAGGCAACAGTGCTAACCACTGAGCCGTCGTGCTGCCAGGTGGAACTGAAACAAAACGAGAACAGACATGAGATGGTTCTGATAGGTCTGTCTGTGTCTCTCAGGACTACGGTTACGTCCAGACAACGTCCTCAGATGTCCTGAAGAACTTCATCCAGACCGAAGCGGTTTCGTCTCGCCCCTTCAGCCTTTTTGACCTCAGCAATGTTGGACTGGTATGTCCCACTGTTGTCCCCAGGTGTTCTGTCCACCTGTGGCCTAACACATCTGATACCTGTCCTCCACTTCTGTCCTCTACTTCCTGTCCTCCACTTCTGTTCTCTATTTCCTGTCCTCCACTTCTGTCCTCTACTTCCTGTCCTCTACTTCCTGCTACAGGTTTCTTCCAGATCTGTCCTCAGCAGGACTTCATGAAGCTGTTTCTGCAGCTCTTCCCTCACTGTTTTCTCTCTGATTCACTCTGTTTGTTTGTTTGTTTGTTTGTTTGTTTGTTTGTAGTTTGGAGCAGAAACACAACAGAGTAAAGTAGCTCCGAGTTCTGCAGCCACCAGACCGATCCAGTCCAGCAGGGAGCCGGTAAACCAGACCTGGGGACAGAAACGTGGTTTTAGTTTGTTGAAACAACTTGAAAATATTTTAACATGATGTTTGTTTTTACTTAAATCAGCAGTTTGAGAGTTTTAATGTGAGAAATCTGAACTAGAGTTTAAAAACATTGAATTATCTGAACCTTTGAGTTTTACTGTGTTAGTGTGTGCGTTCAAATCTGACTCTTTCCAGTAAATAGTCCGATCCCAGCAGGTCTGAATCATCCTGTCGGCTGTTTCAGGGAGGGAAGAGCGAGATCTTTGTGGACGTGATTGAAAGGATGTCCGTCGTCATCGGCTGCAACGTGAGTTTAACACAAACACCGAGAATTCTCCAGAAGAGTCTTTAAAAGAATAAAAGTCCAGACGTCTGGAGGTGAAAACATGAAACCAGAACAAAGCCAAGCTCTGACTGGACTCGTGGTTCAGGTCCAGAATTCTCTGTTCTTTAATAAAAACTAGACAAATTGCATTTTCTGCAAAAATGCAGTGTGAATGCTTATTGCTGAAAAACAGCTAAAATTAGCTTAAAACATGCTGAAATGGAAGAACAAGCCTAAGATAGCAGAGGAAGAAGAAAGGACACATATTTATTGAATTAGGTTTAAATAAGCAGAAATGAGAAAAAAAAATTAGGAAATGAGCTAAAAACGCTAAAATAAACAAAAACAAAACAGCTGAAAAGGCAGAAAAATGCTTAAACTACCAGAAGGAAGTGGAAGGAGCTGAAATGAACTAAAAATGTGTAATTGCCTGAAAAGTTAAAAACAGCATCAAAACAGCTAAACAGAAGCTGCAAGAGCAACAATGTGCTGAAACTCACAGCGAAAGACTGAAAGGAGCACGACAAGCTGAAATGAGCAGAAAGACGTTGGAAGAAGTGGAAAAAATGTTGTAATTAGCAGAAAGAATCTGAAAGCAGCAGAAAACGGCTAAAATCTCCTGAAAGTAGCTGAAAAAGTTCAAATTTGCAGCAGGAAGCTGAACGAAGCTGAAACAGAACAAAATGTGAAAGGATCAGTAAAAGGTTGTAAACACAGCTAAAGATCTGAAGGATGGAAAATGAGGTCATTTCATTTCTATGAGAAACAAATGTCAGAAAAGGCTAAATATTTCAAACAGCTAAAGTTGCACCAATACCAAAAGTCACAGCAGGATTGTCCTGAAAGAGCCGAACGTTTTCTGATTTGTTGAAACAGCTGAAAACTGCGGGACGAGGAAGGTGCAGAAGAAAAACGGATGGCAGAGTGAACGCTTCGTTCTTCACTCAAAGGAGAGAACACGTTTCTAACATGCGTCAAGAAACGAGTTCATCAGTTTGAATCTTTCCAGACACGTTTCGTTGTTTTTACTCCGTGCTGACCCACGACCTGTTCCTCCTCAGACAAAACAAAGTTTTATTTCAATCTTTAAGTCTTTAAAGCCTCGGCTGCCTGCGTTCTGAAGCGTTTCCGTCTTTTTGCTGCAGTAAATATTTTAACGTCTTATTTGTCTGAACATAATGAAATAATATCCGTTTTACAGATTCATGTTTGTGCTGAATTCTAGGAAACGTTCTGTCCGATGGAGCGGTTTCCCTTCAGTTCCCAGCAGCAAACAGAACCGGACCAGTTTCTTTTGACAGAACCCGGTTCCTGTTGTATTGTTTTGGTCCTCTGACTCCGCCCCCTCCCAGGGTCGTGACCCCGGCTCCATCGACTTGCTGTTTATTTCTGCTCCTCTCTAAATACTCGCTCCATTCCTGCCATTAGCTGAGTGGACGTGAGCGACGCGCTAGCAGGCAGAACCGGAGCGCTGAAGGTCCGTCAGAACCCAGGGGAGCTGCGGCCGTTTGAACGTTCCTCATCGATCCCAGGATGACGGGAAACAACCCACAGAGCGACGGACCAGAACTTTCTGAAAACTCCTTTCACACGGTCCCGTGGAGAAAATTCAGCTTTTATTTTTATTAGTTATTTAATTAGTTTATTTCCTTTGATATCCTGACGCTGCTCAATAATCCAGGTAGAAAAATCTAGAACAGTTCCATCTGGTCCTCTGGATGTTCAAAATACAAAACAAATGTAGAAACGTTTCGTCTCTCATCCTGAGGACTTCTTCAGTCTGAGATGCTGTATTCAGCTCAGTCTCTTAAATAGCTCCTTCTCAGAGTGGATCAACCAGTTTGCTGCTGACAGCGCTCCTCGCCGACGACTGGGTCCAGTGGTTTGAGGGCGGGAGGGTCGTCAGGTCTCAAACTGTCGGTAAAACTCCAACAGATCCTTTTAATGTTGAAAAAGGCCTTTTTAAATTACTGTCAATTAAATGTTTTACCCGTTAAAAGAAAACACATTTGTGGCGGTTTAATAATCTAAAGGCGTTAAAACTGAAACAAATTATTTAAGTTTTATATTTTTCTTTCAGACTGAGGTAGCTTTAGAAGATGGACCAGTTTATGTTGGACCAGTTTATGATGGACCAGTTTATGTTGGACCAATTCATGGTGGACCAGTTTATGTTG